ATGACTACAAACAAACAGAACGTCCCCCATGAAGACCCCCTAAATCAATGACTACAAACAAACAGAACGTCCCCCATGAAGACCCTCTAAATCAATGACTACAAACAAACAGAGCGTCCCCCATGAAGACCCCCTAAATCGATGACTACAAACAAACAGAACGTCCCCCATGAAGACCCCCTGAATCAATGACTACAAACAAACAGAGCGTCCCCATGAAGACCCCCTAAATCAATGACTACAAACAAACAGAACGTCCCCCATAAAGGCCCTCTAAATCACTGATTACTTTGAGTCGGTTGCTTTCGCCTAGCTAATTTGGCCCTATGAATGTCATCTGACTGTGTACTTACAAGTTTTTTTGTAGCAGCAAATTCGTCCACTGCAAAAAGACATCCCATAAGCCTTGCTCTCTTCAGCGTGACAAGTGTAACGACAGACCCCAGACACACCATGATAGATATAGCAGCCGGCAGGAGGCAAATCTAAGCAATTGCAAATGGAATGGAAATCAACTATATTTACAACAGTCGCAACTGATAAACTCGTGGTCCTCTATGTTTTACGTCTCTGAAAGATACGGGACCACCATTTTACGTGGTCATTCAAGCTACAGCGAAGGCCTGACCATTTGCAGATATTCTAGAGCAAAGGCAGCATCATTTATTTGTTTAACGATTGCGCATCAGAAGACACATGCATGAATATTGCTACGACGCAAACGAAAAATCTTACTCTAACAGAATGACACGTGGTCAGAAATGGGGGAAAATACGCCCAAAATACAGGGATTTATCGATATTATTGGGAGTAATAAATTTCATGTGATTTATTTTAGCACAGGGAACCCAATAACTGTTAGTTTTTGTACGACTTACTTGGCTCTTTGAAGCACCATTTGGCATTAGGTACCGAGTCATCCCAGCAGCAGTATTTTTTGAGGCATTCGTCTCTGGTAATACCGCTGTAACCACACTCCTGGCGTTCAGAAGGCGCAACGGGACACTGTCCTTCAAGAAGGTCTGTGAATTAGAAATATGACAATATGATGATATTTATTAATAACAGCAACGGCATTAGCAACAGCAACAGCAACAGCAACAGCAACAGCAACAGCAACAGCAACAGCAGAGGTTTTCCCTAGTGTCGCATGTAGCCCTGTTTTACTTACGTTGTCCTTTCTTGACAAAGCAGAACTTTGCATTACGGTCGCTTGAGTCCCAGCAACAACCTCTGTTTAAGCAGGTTTGYTCATCAATACCAAGCCAGCCGCACTCCAATCGATGCGAACTGGCAACATCACATTCTCCTGAAACAAGAAAATAACAATAATAGAACCGAAACAAAGATCTCTTTTTTTTTTTTTTTTTTTTGTCTTTAGAGGAAAGGGGATTGCGGGGGGAGGGGTGGGGGGTCCCAAAAACTAATAGATCTCTTTACCTGGGATGTAATGTTTTCCCATTTCAGACCACGTGTCATTTCCATGCGCAATCGTTAAACAAAGAAATAAAACTCTAGGGATTGACAGAGGTGGTCTAAAATGGCAAAACGTTTACGCTCAAGGTAAAGAGGTCTAATGTCGAAGAGTACCAATAGTCGAGCAGAAACAAAAGAAAACAAAGACGCTAGAGCCTATACTGTATATTAGTGCAATATCTATTTCAAAACTTTAGTCAACTCAATTTTTAAATTTCACGCTGGATCATATATTTACGCAATTTCCAATAAATACACTAATTTTGCTTGAGCTTAATGTTTTTCCATTTCAAAACACGTATCATATCTTCGTTTAACATTTGCATGAGAAGACACATGAATATGAATATACGACTCAAACAAAGAATCTCATTATCAAGAAAAAGACACGTGGTCTGAAATGGGAAAATGAATATGAATATACGACTCAANATATACGACTCAAACAAAGAATCTCATTATCAAGAAAAAGACACGTGGTCTGAAATGGGAAAATGAATATGAATATACGACTCAAACAAAGAATCTCATTATCAAGAAAGAGAYACGTGGTCTGAAATGGGAAAATGAATATGAATATACGACTCAAACAAAGAATCTCATCAAGAAAAAGACACGTGGTCTGAAATGGGAAAATGAATATGAATTTAACAGATCAAAAACAGTTTTCCTTGTTTGTTACTCTGATCAAAACACGCGGGATGTTGAGAGAACACGAGAGGAGCGTAGGAAACCACGACGCGTAGCGGAGTGGTTTCCAGCTTCTCGAGTGTTCTCCAAAAATCTCAAGTGTTTTGACCAGAGTATCAAACACGGAAAACTGTTTTTGATTTGTTTTATAAAATAACAAACGCGCGAAAAGATGGAAGAAAAGCAAAGTCTAAGTAAATTCTCCCTACGCGCCGTCTTATTCAAACTGACCAATGAGCGCGCGCGATAGATTAAAAATGACGATAGCGTGTTTTGATACTCTCATCAAACATGGTTTTCGACCAATCATAGCGCGCGTAGTATCCCAAATATTTTATAATTAACAGATCAAACAAAGAATCTCATTATCAAGAAAAAGACACGTGGTCAAAATGGGAAAACATTACTCCCAAGGTAAATATAGATAGTAACCCTTTTATTGTTCTTTTTTTCCGGTTACAAACATCTTTCTATTCAGCTGTGTACATAAGTTCACTCTCTTTTTCCCCAGCTCCCTCGCCTGAAGCGGCATCAAATATTAAGAACTTACCTATGATGTTATGCTTAAAACATATCACACAAAGATGCAACGAAAACTCCACTAATTATTATAGTTATTATCAAAAGGAAACAAAGAGACACACAAAAGCAACGAGGAAACAGTTTCCCCCTCGAACTTCATTCGCATTATACTGTGAAAGGAAATATGAGAGTTTATCCCTATCGAGAATATCTTCTAAGATCGAATTGAGATTTAGTAGTTGATTCTTGCAAAAAGGAGAAGAACAATAATGAATTAAAAGAGGTAAAAAAGGTTTCCCATTTTCTCAGGAAACAGCACCTTTGGCCGTTTTCGTTGGGCTGGATGGGACTAGAGAAGGGATTAGAAAAGACAGTATTTACTAGAGATTTCATACATACTCACCAGAATCTTCCTGTGATGGTCTTGCAAAGACACAAACGCCCGCAAGCAACACGATCAGGATCACTCTTTCCATCGCACTACATCAGACAAGAATGGCAAAGCAACTTAAATTGCTCATGTTTAATTTTTTATCATAAGGGACACCCTGTTTAGTGCCTGGTAAAACCTGAATGCTCAACAGTTTAGTATCGGTAAAAACGACAATTTTTGGACAACTATTTTCCCCCATATTTCTGATGCTTTTAGATGACATTTGTTTTGCTTTTTTCCAAGAATAAATAAAGAAACACGAAGAAAGAAAGAGAGAGAGAGAGAGAGCATGATCCACGTATGAATACTGCAAATGTCAAATAATCTTTAAACAGGCTAACACAAGATGATGCTGAAGGCCGGTATACAAGTTACGATTTATTCTCCTAACTGTCGCGCGCCACATGCTGACGACACAAATGGCTTCGTGTCAGTAAATTGACCAAACGTTTTGCTTACGACTTTCTTAAGCAGCTAAAACTTTGGTTAAGCATGTTAATTGCGTGCGACAGTTGTGAGGAAAAATAGTACCGTTTAAACCAGTCTTGAGAGTATAGCTTACCGATTTAGTAGCATAGATGGTTCAAAAACGACTGAACTGCTCACTCGATGTCTTCCAAGCTAGCCAGCTTTTATCTATCTCTTTATACCATTACTAAACAATGAAACATTTGTTTTGTTAATTGTTTAAACTTGCCGATACATGTTGCTTCGTGCTATTAGACGGCGCCTTCAGACAAAAACTCTCAGCTTATGAAATAAGAAAGTAGCTTTTGTTCTGAACTAGTAAACCTGACAACAGAATGCGCCTTCAAACACTGAATAAGTTAAAGTGATAAAAGAGAAAAGAGCGTTTGTTCTGAGGTGTAAACCCGACAACGTTAACTGAAAACAGCATCCAAGGTGTATTTACACATATGCCCTTGAATTGAATTAGTTTTTTCGAACCAAACTTAATCCAACTAAAGATTTTCATTTTAAGCGGGAGCCTGCTTCAACCAAAATCTTTTGAACTAAATTCTTCTTTTTTTTCGCAATCGCCGGTAACTTGGTATAATGTAATACACAACAAAATATTTGCATTCCTAAAAGTTAAAAAGGAACCTGCGACTTTCTAAATAACCCTTTGATTTGAATTGGCAGCTTTTTTCGCAAACATATCTTGCTAACAAGTCGTTCTTGTTCACTTCACGCTGTTTGCCTCGCCATTCAAGATTCAGCAAGTGATAGTTTCAACACGAAAAAGACGTTCGTTTTAACGAGTAAAAATAACCAGTTATCGTTCTACATACTCTTTCATTTGCTGCCTGAACACCACTTTCATCAACCAATCATGTTGTTGAGTTCAAATTGTTGACATTGATCGATTGCCATGCTTTTTGTTTTTACCCCCTCAGAGAATCATATTAAGAGAGAATTCTTTTCGTATTCAAGCAGTGAGCGCCAAAAACTATTTTCTTGAAGAAAGGCTGTTGTACAAGGCTAAAATCATTCAGAAAGTGTAATTTGTTTGGAAGTGGAGATGACAGATAAAAGTGGAATCAAAGTGTTAACCCAAAGCAAAAAGTTTATTCGAAAATGAGGTTYAGGCCTTCATTTGCTTATTTCCCATATATTTTCTATAAAAAAGCCTGACAAAGCAACATTCTAACACAAATGCAACAAAACATCTTTGTACAATTGAAAATACCGCTTCAAACAGGCATTTTATCTTAGTAAATCAGTTCCTAACTGTTTAAAAAAGGTTTTGAGTGTTAACCCAAAACGAAAATTGGGATCAAAACTCATACGAAAGTTTAGTTTTTGGCGCTTTTTGCCATTATCCTCGTTATTGAAAAAAGTTTCCTCTTAAACTGAAGACGAAAAAGTAGTCTAGAAAAAGAAGAGGCGCCTCGTGGATATTTGTACGTTTTCATGGTAATTTATTTTTGAGCCACGGTTACTTTTGTTTGTTATGTTTGATCGGTTTTGTTATTGAGTTTGTTCCTTTAAATACTAGATCTTTTTGTACAGTCTTATCACAAACATTCGCTCATTCCCTTGCTCACTCATTCATTCTTTATGTGCCTGGCTGCACT